CATTTAATCGTTGACTTTGCACACTTCCCGATCTCATTCCACCTCAACGCCATTTCATTAGCGACTCATTTCCTAGTGCAATTTCCGAAACGCTTGCAGCTCAGCTGAGTTTGCAGATGTCCCAAAGTTCTCATTCATCAACTGTTTTTTTCTGAAGGTGTCCCAAAGTTTTTATTCAGCAATCACTTTTTGTGGATGTTCGTGAGAAGTGTGGAAGTTTTTTTTAGTTCAATGAATAGAATTAGGTTGCGCCTAAGGGCTTTATAATCCATCGCATGTTTTCAAGTGTTTTTGTTTTTAGCGAAAACAAATAATCTCGAAACATTCCGAAAAGCTATAGGAATATTTGAGAGTGGGATTGTCCATTAGCGCTGTAATATCTCCTCAGACATCGTGTTTTCTGTCGGGGGATATGATTCATTTTAATATCGCCAACAGACAAACATCTGGTGGCATTTTTCGTGGCTCTTCCGATCCTAATCCCGTTTCCTAGCTTGCCCAAGGTGACATCTCACTAAGATATTCAGTCCTATTTTCGTTTCCTAGGCTGCCCACCCAAAGTAACACCTCACTGAGAAATCCAAAGTTTTGATATAAAAATTATGAACGCAAACGTTGCCCAACGTGTGTATTGATTGGTTAATGCCCTGTGTTGAACGCGCACAATTTGTAGTTTGCGCGAAACCTGGGCGCACTCCCCTCTATAATTCTCGCAAGATTCTTGCAATCGTAGAAACTCTTGATTTCATTATTCGAGCTCTTCTGTTTCGGGGGCTCCAGGCGATCCCTCCCTTTTTCATTTCTCTCTGCTTCGTTGACTGTGTAGTTTTTTTTGTCACGAATGCTAAGGTAGTCGATGAAAAGTTCTTCTAGGAGATGGATGCACGTCAATTGTCGGCCTTGGATCAACACGTCGCTCCGGGACTACGGTTATGGATGCTGTTCGCTCTCGTATTTGGTGTATTGCTCATAATGGGTAGGTGAAGAATTTGTTGCGTGGAAAGGCCCTTCAAACTATAGATTGCGTCTAGCAAATCTTGCTTCAGTATGTGTTGGCTTATTTAACAATTTCAGTGGTCCTGGTGTGCTGCTTCATGCGAATTAGGATTCCACGAACAAAGAGACAGATTGATTTGATTGCGGCGAAGCGGAAAATGAGAAACAAGAGTGCGAAGGCTGTCTGTACGTGTTTTAAATTTTTGTGAACCTTTGATCTTCAAACTCCAACACTTTGGAAATACGCACGTTCCGTCGATTGCGGGCATGAAGCGTCTGCTGTGTCGTTTGATGCATGTTTAAAATAGTTGATCAAAACATGTGTCTAATTCTGTATAGCGAAGACTAGCACCGTTCAAGCAATACTGCCATCAACAACCTTCATCGTGTACCTGACTAGTTGTTGTTAACAATCCTGCATCGTTCCCCCATCAGCCACACGATGCAGAAAATCTGCTAGACCATATCTTTTGAAATCAACTGCTTCAACAAGCCAGGCAGTACAATTATTTTGCTAACTGAAGGAGGTTGGAAATATGACGCGACCGGCCCATTCAGGAAACGTTACCACAGGCTTCCTGTCAACCACTGTCCAAACAAAAAAGGGTGAGAGCGCTAGCTTCAAAAGCACACACCTGCGACTTTTGCGAACTAAGCTTTTTGCAAAAAGATAAAAGGGAAGAGGAACTGTTGTCTGTGATAGTCGTGGCACACTGGGGGAGCTCTCAGACTTATCATCCGAGCAAACGCTGAACGGCCAAGCTCGGTGACAAATAATCCTGTAGACCGTCCGAACAGGGGAAAGTTGTCCCTGCAACAAAAAACAACTCACCTTTAGCAAACGCCGTTTATCAGGTCGATTATCATTCGTTGTTACTTTCTGAAAAATTTCTACGACCCCCTCCCCCAAACCCCGCCCACTTTTTTACCTCCAAAAATGCCGTCGAGCGGGGGAGGGGGGTATAGTCACTCTGAAACGGTAATGAATATCTCCGAAAATTTCCTTCTACTTCCCCCATCATTCAACCCATTTTTTTACCTATACTCCCACTACTTCCTTTTCTAGGGGGGTATATACGCCCGCTGAAACGGCAAATTTTTATCCTGCGCGCCCTCCACTCGCCCAGCCTACTACCCACGAAATCTTAGTTTCACCTCAATCCCACACGTGATTTCGAGCGACTAAAGTGGGTACGACCCCCCTCCTACAAACTCAACCAGGTACGACCCCCCCGTTGTTACTCGTAACAACGTAGGGTTGACCCTGCCGTAATGGTGCCTGATATGTACCCCCCGCCATTTTCTGCCCCACTTGACCGAAAAGATCTGTGTGGTTGACTCGCATGGTCCTTCAGCCGACCTGTTGAACAACTGTTACCGGACGTATTCAAGAATGGCCGCCTGCTTTTGCAAAGGATTTTCACTTGCTTGAATCGTTTATTTATCGAATTTCTTTGTTTTTTATTGGTGCATAGGTCTTTATTTGTGCTGGTGCATATGTGATTGCAGCCGCATTTCGCCGGCATGAGCCAGCAAGAAATGCCTGCAGAACAAGCTAGTTCACCAGCTCGTAACGGCCTCCAGCGCCCTCACTTTTTCAAAGGGGAAAAGAGGGGGGTCTCTTGTTAGAGCTTTTCACGCGCGTGTTCTTTCCTTTCTTGGTTTGCAGTCAACATCCCAACCCCACGATCACATTACCAACCGCTTCTACCAATAGATCGATAATTCGGTTTGTTGCTATTAGCTCTTCATAAGCCTCTACAGCTTTAGAAGCGACTTAACTAACCGTAGCCATAGTGAGCCAATCAATTATAATTCCCACTTAATAGATGAAGAATTCATTTTTTTTTAATTCCTTATATATTTTTGTTGTTAATAAAATACTAGAAAAGCTCATGCTTAACTATCGGCACTGATGACTTGCTGATAATCGCAGCCCCATATGTGGGTTGCATGGTTCCCAGTTATCGCGACCAGCGGTCAACCACAATTCGGATTTCGCTATGGGTGATATGGATGGAGTGGAAGGTAGAGGACCGTAATCAACGGAGCTTAAATAGCGATGTATAATAACAAGGAAATAGCAACGGAAATGATAAAACATTAGAATAAGAGCTCCTACTGCATCTCGCAGCTCATGTCCCGCCTACGGAACGCGTTGCAGACCCTGCTCCAAATGATATATAACAACAAATCTTGTAATCAAATTTGATCTCGCGACCATAAAGTTTTACTATAATTTCACCCTACGTTAGTTCATACACATTAGCGCGTTGACCTCGCCTTTCTTAAAGCTGTTGCAAATGAAATTCAAAAAGATATCCTTAAAGGGTTTCTTTATTCTCCCTACCACCTGGGGACAGCGTATGCTGCAAGAGAGATGGTGGAGACGATAACTGTAGCATGCTTGATGTGGCATTTCGTCGTCATCGTTCGATTTCATTTCGAAATGCATTTCATATAGAGCTGCCGTATGCTCTCATTTTATTCGTGTCGCATCGTATCGTATTTTTCTTGGAATCGAAAAGTGAAATAAGATTCTTTTCTTCATCCCACTTTCATATTTATTCCATCGCATGGGTATTATGACCTCTGCATTTAAGAAGTGACTTGTCGTAAACTCACTACCCATGCCTTTCTAAAGACTAACTTGTTTTGCGTCTATCTCCCTCTATTACAGGGCTTTTTATTTGGGGAGACCGCGTTATCTTGAATTATTGCTGCACAAAATATTAAGATCAGCCCTCCTCACATTCGCTGAACTCTAGATAGCGATTTCTTTTCAGCTGATGAACGCTCTCAAGCGATTGTGATGAACTCCATGCGGCCGAAGTCCAGTACGTCTTCAAAGCCATCCACATCTAAGTCAGCAGCCACACCTTCTGACGAACATCCGCTCGTTCATAAAGGATCGAAACAGCACACTGAGGTTTGAATGGTCCTCTAACTTCACATAAGCCTTCTGAGTTTTTCAGTCATTCAGTGCTCACGCTAGGGAATTCCTTGACTGTAGGTCGGTGCCTAATTATAGAATGAGTTCACCAAGTGTTATCAGACTTCTTATGTATAGTTTTTTTTCTTAGTATAACTAGTTAATCACCCTTTTTTCGTTTCGTTTCAATTCCTCTCAGAGTTTTTATAATTGTTATTTTTTCATGTTACTGTATTATTAGCTAGTCTGCTTGTCCTTTTCTTCAAACGCTTATTGCAATGACGTGTAGCTTTCAAATCATTTATTGGTGCTTTAAGTTTTTCGAATAAGATCTCTTCTGCTAGCAGCAATCTTGTCATCTTGTTTATATGATAAATAGTTTCTCAAAATGTTTTATGTACCAGAAGTTGATAAGGTATGTAATCCCTATTGGTGTACCTGAAGTCCGTTTTGATTATTCTCGAAAGAAGCTTAGATTATATTTAAGAACAATATTGATCTGTGAACTACATATCTGAGCATGAACATGATTATTGAGAAAGGATTATGATCGGAGATGGACGAACGTAGTCGTTTCTTGGCGGATGCGGCAGCTCAACGAAGAGAACGTGAACTTGGACGAGTGCAGGCGGAAGTAGCCGTGAAATTACAGGCGCTAGCAAGGGGCTATTTGTCAAGACAACGATTTGTGAATGACATCCGGTTGGTCCTTTCATCTGACAACAAATGAGGTGGTAGGAATCGCAACCCATGATTTTAATACTGCTGTAGCCAAATTTAAATTTCATTTAATCTTGATTTTCTAGCCATGTTTAGGCTATTTTATTAACCCTTTGATGGCAATGGCACCCAATGGTGGGTGCCACCTTGAAATTTCCTTCTTTGCGCATTTAAAACATTTGTAACACCCCAATAATTATAAGCAAGTTCCATAATATCTATGGCTAGCACGGCTTACAGAAATGTTTACTAAGAGCTAATTTATATAGAATTTTAGAATGTGCCATTTAGCTCGCCAGCATATTAATTGGGGTTTTGCATTATTAGGCCGAAGATTAATTACTAATCAGGACTTCTTCGTCTTCTCATAGCCCTCAGATATGGGAAGGGGTTTGAAGTGTATCGAAAATTCTCTTGGACACTTAAACTTTGGAGGTTTTCCCTTCCCTTTCAACCCGAGTTCCCCTTCCAAATTTGGAATTCTCTTGAAAAATATACAGTATGAAAGCCTAGAACTGCAGTTATATCTGGTATACTGTTAAAGTCAAAATTCTATAGAAAACTGCTTTGAGGGACAATTTTGCCCAATTGTGAGCGAGAGTTGGGCGCGCCAAAAAGAGGCGTGGTCCCACGAGCAAGCTACGTGCAAATCCGCATTGTCGTCAAAGGGTTAATTCTAACAGGAGTGATGTTCCGCGATTAATTTCATGATGGTGTTTAAGGGGGAAGGGTCCATTCGCGAACATGAGTTATTAAAGGGTCATGCTTTCGTATAGTGAAGTCACGCACCCGTGGTTCACTCCAGGAAAGTTGGAACAAAGACCATGCGGGGGTGAGGTTCATGTTTTTGTAATACTTCCGCTTAATGTAGCTTTTGGTAGTAAAGAATCAGCTCTGACCCTTTCCATTTAAGCTCAACTGGTCGAGAGCTGGCATATCGCATTCACCTGACATTGAAAACGAAAAATGCTGCTTGCAAATGTAAGAAGTGCCTGCAAATCGGGCCTGACTTCTTATGGCGATTGAACGGACTTCCCTGACGATAAGAGAGCCAGGCATTGCAGTCTTTTCACAATTCTCACTGTCATTACATTTGAAGGCTAAAATATTGGTCCAAAAACCGTGCACATGATAGTCAGATTAAGTGCCTAAGCAAAGATGGAGTAAATCGAAAGGAGCTTACTGGATGGCATTCAGATATTTGCGCAATTATGTCGTCACATTATATTGTCATTGGACTCGTCAGCAAAAGATACGAACTGGGCTACATTGTTCCTGAACAAGTCTACGATAGCTGCGGCTGCGAAAAGTTATTCTGATATCATCTGACGTCAGTTCGCTCACCTCGCCTCAGTATATTTGGTAGCTACAGTCTTTCCCTTTTTCCTTGTACTGCCGCTTTTGCATGGCTTCTATTCTCGATCCTGATCAAAAAGGAGCCTCCGGGAGTTGCAGCAGTCTCCAGCAAAAATAAATATTGGCTCCTCTCTCGACTGCAGATGGCTAATCTAGTTTATCTGGGTAATTCACATTCCTAAATCCAGACGGGATGTAACCGTTGCGGGCACTGCTGGTCTCGCGCTAGAGGAGCAAGTCTTTGTGAAGTGAAAGGAGCACTAGTTAAGTGGCTCTCCAGCAAAAACCTATCTTCTGCAAATCAGTTTTGAGCAAACCCAACTGGCCCCCCCAAGTCAACATATCTTTTGATTTGTCTGTTTTAAGCAAAAATAAATCGAGGAATTATAGATTCATTTGTCCGTATATCCCTTCATAGACTCTGTTCCTTAAGGGTTGCCCGTGTCGGCTGAGGTTAAACCCATGTCAACTTTACTTCATTTTTTGTGTATGGATCATTAAATGTTCTCCTTGTCGCACGCACCCCAGGTGAGTGGGATCGCCAGTCTTTATTTGTGATCTACCTTAGAGGTCGTATTTTTTTTCATCGCCTTTTCGAAGTGACGTTTGAAAGAGAACGCTAGGTCTCTAGGTTCAGAAAGTGCTCAATGATCCGTGCAGTAAAATGTGTTGCTCTTTAGGCGAACATGCCAACTTCTCACGCCTTGCGGTATATCGTTCATATTCATCAACTTTATTCTTACTCCAAGTTTTAAAGTTGCGAATTTTCCAGAATTCTCTATTTCTTGCCTCGAATGAGCAAAAACCCTTGTTAAGCGCTCAGGCGCTAAATGCTCTCTTCTCGATACTGATGAAGTCTGTCAAAAGCGACGATACATTAGTACCATTGCTTATCATACAATTCTCCACTGTCCGCCATTATTTTTCACTTGAACAAAGGTATGTATCAATTTCTTTACCCCTACTATCTTTTTTTATATTTTTATTCCCAGTCACTTATAGATTCTTTTCTTTTAGTAATTGATGTCATTTCTCACATCTGGTCTCGTCAATCGATCTCACGCATTTGCGAAATTCACCGGACGTAGCGGAAAATATAGAACCACAAAAGACCATCAATTTACTCGGAAATATAATACATCTGGGATATCTAGATGAAGAAGTTAGTCCCACTATTGATCTAATAGTCTCGGAAGGTGTATGATTTTTTAGAGCGGTCAACGCGCATAGCGCATTGGACATGGTTTATTGATGGTTGGCCAAGAAGGTCTGCCGTTTCTATTTCAATTGGATTAGGTATTCCTTTGAAACTTACTTTTTCCATAAAAAAAATTTGCCCGTGCGACCTGGCGAGCAGTCTAAGTCCATCATCACTGCGATCCAATTCTTTGGTCTCCAAGTTGCCAAAATTTATCCTAAGTAAGTCCACTCTATCATAGTTTAATCTGTATTTTTTCCTATCGAGAATGTTTACAGAACAGAAAGGTCTTTGCGTAATGTCCTGCGACAGCTGCAGATGTTATGGAGTTACCGCATAGTCTGCAGACTTTTCGACAAAGCGCTCGAAGGAGTTGATCAAAGTCGACCGAATGGTCACGTGCCAGTGAAAGACCTTGAGCCAACCGTTCAACCTTCAGTTGTTTCTAAAGAGCTTTCCAATATAAACAAAACCAACCATACTTTATCCTTAAATCACCCAGCTTCGTGGCTTTCTCTTCCTAAGGCGTGGCGTGCGCGAGCGTGAGCAACTCGCATGCTCCGCTGTTGCGAGGCGGCCTGCGTCAAGGGCGCGATTGAAGGGGGGGTGAGTTGTGCGGGTGCACTGCCGACCGTGCCGCTCTAGCTGGCCACCACCCTAAAAGGTGAAAAAAGTCATGACCAAGACCACCTGTTTCCTCATGACGGGACCAAAAGGAATACTTGCAGGTGCATTTTCAAAATTGGATAGCATGAAGGTTAGAAAAATGAGCGCAAGACTTGGCAAAACTCCGTGAATTTTTTGTTTTTTCTTTTGTCGTTAGCTTCCATTGTCTCTTCTCTGTTATTACTTTTTTTTTAAATACCACTCCTTTCTAAATTAAGTAATAGCAGTCCTGTATCAGAAATTATTTCAAATCTAATAGACAGAGGAAGTTTGATTGGAAGCGTTGCCTAAGGTGGAATTGCTGTTGTTCTTCAGAACTATGGAAGAAGTTAGGAGGGGGATCTTCATCCGAGCCTCAAGGAGAAATGGAAATAGGAGACTGCCCCTATCTTCGCATCGGTTGTATGTCAACTATATGCACAGCATTGTCAACTATGCAATGAAGAATAATCATGCAGGCTAACGATTGATTCTTATTTCTCTTCGTCGTCACCCGTATTTTTGTTAGTTCTCCGTACTTCAATGTTGGGTAATGCAGTTCATCAATGAATTCCAAGTGTAGAAGGTTACAAAGAATGTCGCTGAAAAATTATTTTTTTTCTGTGGTAACATGTTATATTAGGTTGTCCCATAATTAGTGAATCACTTGGGGTATTTTTGAATTAAATTTTTTTCTTTTCTATTCGAAATTCTTGCTCATCCAAACATACATTCGAGGCCGGTCCCCCCCGCTGTCACCGTAAACAACATATGTGTATGTTCATGGGGAATTTATTCGCTGTCTCTCCTCTGAAATTGTGGGAGCTCCTGAACGAAGAAAGACTGGAAGTCGAGTTCGAGGTCATGTCACTTTGCGCAAGATTTCTTCCTGGGAAAGAGGTGCCCCCCGCGGCGGAGGTGGAAGAACTATTAGCCTGATAGTCTCCAACTTTTTATGATTATTCCCTGGTAGGTCGGGTCGAACGACCTCAGGAAAAAAGCAGACTTTGTCTTGCTTTACTTTCAGTTTCGAACGCATCGTCATAACGCTGTCGACGTTGACCTTCTTCAGTGACCCTAGTATCACTGCGCGGCGCTCCCAGCGCAAGCTCCCTCTCTTGTTTCACGAATATCTCGGAAAGTTCGGACTTAGGAGAGGTTGGGCTTTTGCTGTCAGAACTCCGGAATCGTTCAAGCTACGCTACCGTCCCTTTAATTTAATACACACCACCCAGTCCACAATTCTGGTGAGTATGCTGGGTGATCAATGTAAGCAACTAAGGGAGATCAGAAGGAACATGAGGGTTCAGATCGGGAGTTGGAGCTGATTCGGGCATAAAGCACGGTAGTAACAAATTTTGTATTCTTGAATCTTCGCGACTCCACGGAGTTGTATACGTTCCATCATCTTAAAGTTGGATACGCTCTGGCAAATATACGATTAGTTTGCCCATTTTCGTTCTTAGCGGGGCTGGCTAGGGCGGTGAGATTGCCAGTCGAATGGTACCTGGAGTGTGGGTCATCTTCAAATAATAAATTCAATCCCGGAATAGAGTGAACCATAAGTACACCGTAGGTTGAGCGAGCGTGCCCCTCTCGTCTATCTGCTGGTTGATCCCACATGTTGTTTGGCGTTCGAAAGATCCTAATAAGAGGTGATGAAGAGATGAGCTCAAAAATAGGTTCTGGAAAAATTGATTCGTGTAACAGCCGCGTAAGGCAGCGTATAAATGGGCTGACTAAATACTCGGGTAGGACAATGTGTGCGCCTACTTGGCAAAACATGTTTCACGCCTTTACAATTTTCTTTGGATTTTTCATACCAATAAATGTAAAGTGATTCACTAATTATTGGACAACCTAAATTCAACTTTAATTTAGTGTGACGTTCTTCTTATATGGAACATATGCAAGGCGATCAGTTTCACTACATCATCACGGAAATTGCAGGAGTTTGTCGAGAAGATAGAATTTTACGGCAGCTGTGGTCATATCTTATCCGATGGGGCGGCGAAAGCACGCTCAACATCTCACCGTCAACCGGTCGCTTCACCGCTCAACGCTGCGTTGTCATTGCTAGCTCGTCCTCAGAGCCCACATGTGGTAGCTCCTCTGACATTGTTTGCGGATGCGGCAGCTATTGTGATATCGTGGGTTGCTTGATTTTTTCCAGAGTGGGGTGGAAATTGCTCCTAACACGCCTTCAGCGAACGCTTTGTAATTATGCCCTCGAGTTTGCCTCCGTTAGGGTGAAGTATGAATGTCTCTAATGGAAACAACGGACAAAAATTGGCAACAAATCAACCCTGATTTCGCACCATGCGCTTAATTTTTTGTTCTTCTCCGAAATTACTTCCGCCACTTGTTACTCGCTGAAATTAACAGGATCTTGGACGAGGAAGAGCTATACGAACGTGCAGTCCCTTTCCCTGTAGAGGAACTTGTACATATAGCACGATTTTGTAATTACTTCTGCTTCCGTGCCGTATGGAGCGGATTAGTTGGTGAGGTTTTCTTATGGTAATTATAAAGGTGTAACTTGAATTTTGTGTTCGAGTAATTCCCGTTCAGATGAGCGAACTATCCTAATATCCTTTTTGCGAGTTCATACATACCCTTTGCATGGTTCTTCAATGTTCGCAGACACGCCGGCTTCTTATGGTCAATGATCGCCAAAATTGCTAGTCACCTGTAATGGAATCCTCTACTTGCTGGGCAGCCTATGAAGCGAGTTCCTTGACAGTTTCATATCGTTCAGAACGTGAGAGTTTCTGTGCTAATGGAGCATTCGACGAAGGGAGAGACGTCTAGAGGCGTCCTTCTGATGCGTAAACTCAGTCATTTAATTTCACTTAAGGAAAGGATGTTGTTGTTCAGGAAGTTCGTCAGTGCTGATAAGGTATTTTTATTGAGCCATCTTTTCTAGAACAGCATTTTAGTTTTTGAATCTTCTCAGCGTATTTGCTGAAATACCCTACACATTGAGAGCTGAAGTACTCGGAATCTTCTTGTTTAATAAGATGAGTTATTTGGGTTTTGAACATGCTCCTGGATGTGTTTAGTCGAGTATCGAATCGTCGGCCACCCTCATCACAGTGGCACGAAATCGTCTCGTTGAAGACGGGTACCGACAGCTGTCCATGTTATCCACAAGAGCACTGAAATCTCGTACCGATGGAAATTTGTAAATCAGCAGGTAACTTCTTTCTCAATATATTTAATCCTACTTCTATTCTTGTCGAGGTTTTTAGGGTCTTGATGAAGCCGGTATAGATCAAGATGGTGTGTTCAAGGAATTCCTTGAATTGACTATCAAGCAAGTCTTTGATCCTGCTTTGAACTTGTTTCACGTGAGTCTTATCATATCACTGTTCTGGTTTGGAAGTTATACGAATATTCTTGGAGTAGTTTTGAAGCCACAGCCAATTTTCGAATATATGTTTACAGAGCACTGCCGCCGGGGTGCTTTACCCGTCTGCGACTTCAAGTGTGCATGAGGATCATCTGGCACTGTTTCAGTTTGTAGGAAGAATCTTGGCCAAGGCAGTATATGAGGGAATTGTTGTTGATGTTCAGCTAGCGCCCGTTCTGCTTGCAGCGGTGCGTGGTAGCTCAGAATGTTTTTTATTTGTTCGCGCCGTGCGTAATATGTAGGTAACAACACAATGTGTCAGATGTTGGGTGGACGACGTCTTTGTGCTTTCGATGAACTGTCACAATTGGATCCCGAACTTTACCGTAATCTTACCTTTGTGAAGACGATGTTGATGTAGTGCATCTACCTTGCCCATTTCCTATGACGAGGATTTTATGGGCAAGGTAATTTCCATTTATTACTTGTTAGCTTGGAGAAAGCATTATTTTATGTTCCGGTGCCATTTAGATAAATACAGTCGATCTGGTGCCTGGTGGCAGGACGATTCAAGTCACTAATGAGAACAAGTGAGACCACCTCTAATTATTTGGTTATTGGCATTTTTGAAGAAATAGAAAACAGCGAGATCTAGACATAGTTGCTAGGAGAGAAATAACATTCGGTTACCTGGAAGCGAAAAATATTCCGCTCAAACTTCTTGTTTATCGCATTACTCCTCGCGTCTCGTTTTTCATACACTATTTCATACCATTAAATGCTTTTCATTTCATGAAGATTCACCTCATCAGATTTGTATTCCATTCGCATCATATTCTTTACTACTCCATTTCTTTGCTTAGAATAAATCCAACTAACGTTATAGTCGATTATGTACATCAAGGACACACTCATCGTGTGTCTCGCAAACAAAACGAACACATGTCCGGAGCGTTGTTCTGGTGCTACACTCGGTCTTAACCCTGCATGGCTCTTGCCTTTTTGCTCCATATGAGCTGCAATTTATCATAAGTTGGATACTCCAGGTAGGCAATGGTTATGTTACTGTTTTCAATTTTTTTGCGCATCTCATGTTAAACTCGATAAATTTTATAGTATTCACGTGGCAATACTTGGTGAATTACCGCCATCATCATTCCAGTAACTTTGCGGGAGCATAATGCATCAAAATCCTTTATTTAGTAGTAAAATAGAATCCGCAGTGAAACAAGATAGAATGAACCTTTTTTTACAGTGATATCGACTTGGTGGATCTGAAAAAGCATGTGCAGTATTACGGCGGATTTCATGGAAGTCATCGACTGATCAAGTGGTTGTGGGAGATTGTGGAAAAAGATTTCACAGCAGATGAGCGAAGACTATTTCTTAAGGTGAATTAGTGCTAGATTTCATGTTGAACCCTTTCCCCTTCCAGCTCAATACACTTAAATTCTGTCCTGATTAAGTCGTTACCGAGCTCTCGCCGTCCACCTTTGCTGGGTTTCTCCTACCTCGAGCCACCGTTTTCCATACGTTGTGTAGAAGTGTCAGATGATCAGGTAAGTGGAGCAGGAAGATTTACAAAATATTTATTATTCGTTGGTTATTACTTACTGCAGCACAAAAAGATACTTTCTATATGTGTTTGACTCAAACTGTTTGAATCACTTTAGAAGGTGAATAAAACGCCATTTTTCGTCAAACTAACACTATTCCATTCTTGTTTTCAATTCTTTTTTTCCATTCTTCATAACACTTATTTATTTATCACTATAATTACTATTATTATTGAACACATTCACGACGGCCCCTTTTTGCACTTTTTGGTCACATGGGACGAACGCGATTTTGTGAGCGCCGTCAACTCACCTCAAATTCGTGGATTTTGTATTCCAAAGAAACAAAACGTGAATTTCTCAGAACGATTTTAGGAATTTTTGATGCGTGAAAGTTGTCTTAGCATATATATGCTATACGAAGTTATTACGTTGGACCTTGATTTCAAATGCCTGTATCTCGGCTCATTCGAAACCTTTTTGATTGGAGTAAAGACTGTTAGAATCCACAAACCTCTGCCAATAACAGCTGCGTTGAATCAGCCCGGTAGTGCAGAATACTGGAGCTCTAGAGACGATGAACCCGGCGGAGGTCGTTTCCGCATCATGTTGGTTTTTGAAGCATAACTCTTTGGAGAAGCTATCCAGGTAGTCGAGAAAGTGACAAATTATAGGCAAAAGGTCTACCGAGTAGGATGTTCGCAGGACTAATTCGTAGCCAATCTTGTCGAACTTCTGCAGGGTTTGGTTGTGGAATGTGCGTCCGAGCTACCTGTCAGGGACGAGCCGGTTCCTTTATAATGAGAAATTTCGAGAGCATATGTGCCAGAGTTCTAGGAGTAATTTTACACATTATCAGGAGTACTTTTTCCACATTAACAGATCCACCTGGTTACGAAAAGCTAGACCAGCCGCTGACCTTATGAAAGTCACCTCAACCTTCCTTCAGTGAAGTTTCACTTTTGCAAAGTTTGTAGAGCCTGATCGCGGTCGATCACTTCACCAAAGGTTCGTATTCTGTAGCAAAGAATCCGTTCTTTGTCGTGCGTCGCAAATGATCAAAAAGTCAGGTCGTTTTCATGGCATGAAACAAGCTAGAACGCGGCGAACGACCCTTCAAAATGGTGAGCTGTCGCGGCACGCCCTATTTGAGTTTTTGTGACTTTCCAGCTCTTCCCGTACAACAAGAAAACACATGCAAGTGCGATTAGTTTTAGGAACCCTCTCAATAGATTTGTGCAAACGTGCTTCAACCAGAACGCTCGACTAATCGTTGGCGTCTCTCTAATTCCTATCACCATCCCATCAATCTTGGTGCCTGACTATTCTACAAAAGCTTTTTGAACAATTGCTTCAGAGCCATATTTATTGCGAATCTCAGCCAAGTGCGTCTATAATATCTTGACCTGCTTCCTCTCCATACTGGCCTGCTTTGAGCTAGAAAAAGGAAATCATGCAAATTTGCTCTTGGAGTATGCCGTATTCAAGGCTTCAAAAAATGACAACTAAATGATAAGAAACATAATAACTAATACGAAGTTATACGATTCAAAAAATGACAACTAAATGATAAGAAACATAGCTAGCCTAGCTGTTAGATAGAACAAGAAAAGCTCTTCAAAACCACATACAGCTCATTGGCGGCTTGCTTGAATTCGTAACAAAATAAAGCGTTCAAAAACGAAACACCGAAAAGCGCAAGAACTTTCTTCACGACCTAATATATTGTAAAGAGAATTTCGATCAAAGCGACAAGTAGTGGTAATGAAAAGGCAATATTCCTTCCCTTTCCCCACCGTAAAAGCATTTTCAAGTCGAGTATTCGGTTTAACCTCATGTGTTTCTATTCGACCCCTTTGATCGTCCACTTCGGGGACTGCACCCTTTCATGACACTGTTTTATGGCTTCAAGAGAAAATATCACAACAAAGATTTCATACGGTTCAGAACATATCTCTAAAAGAAGCAAGATAACATTCATCGATGAACCTGTCGATTATGATAAATATATCTCCGTATTCTTTAATATAGATATATCCAAAAATAGCGTATCAGCATACTGCAACGATTATTATGCCTGCAGCCCATATGGCTGCCCAGCTAATAATCGCTATAAGCGCTCGTCCCACGAGCACCACTTCCTTGGAGGCCATATGGGACTGAACGGCGTGATGTGTTAATATTCATGTGTTCATTGGTGAAGAGGTGAATATTGTGTCAATGAGGTGCTTCAGGATCAAGGAGATACGTTAGGAAGCGTTGTGCGAGGATTTCTAGCGCTTAAGAAAAGCCAATCATCATCCCGCCTACCAACTGGTTGGTGCTATTGTAATTGCAAACTTTCCAGTATCATTTTTAACTCGCGACTGCGACTCATCCGCTGCCTCATTACACTGTAAAACTCATTGAACAATCAACGAGGAAAAATAAATGTAATAAAAGCAGGTACTCGACATGGAGGCTCCGTCGCGTTCGCACAGACGGCAGAGACGCAGGTAGCCGGTCAGCTGTGAGTTTGCCAGGCGCGACCTGTGTTTATTCCAAGTCAGAAAAGGTGTATCAACTAACGTTCAATCGCCGCAATAATTGACGCTACCAACTCGTTCGCTGTTCCGTCTGCGTCCGTGCTTCTCACCACGCGAGCGGGCCTGCTCGTATTTAGACTAGAGAGCAACACGCGCCGCCCGACGCGACAATACGGTGGCCACGCCATGCAAACTTTTCAAATCATGCATGTATGCTGACAAACTTCCTCGTATAAAACTTTCATCCAACCCTCAGCTTTAGGGTTGGAATAGAATCAGCTCATTGATAAGCAAAGGGTAACTTACAATAAACTAAAACGCTGAATAGTTGGCTTCTTACGGCTAGTTGTCGCATTGATAGTCGTTATATGGTCTGCGAACCAATCTAGAGTCCAGAGACGAGATTACTGCCAAAATCCACCGATTGATCCTCAGAGATGCTTACGGTCCGGATCGACTTGCGCTCATCCCTCATCGGGGGCGTGGGTAAGGAGGCCGGGGACGGTTGGTGGGTTGAAAAAAACTATAAAGGTGAAAGTTCTCTCCTAAGCTTGTGTGGTGTGGACGGTCCTATCGAGTATCATCTCTAGGGGAGGGGTCGTCATATCCTCGAAATTGGAAGAGCGGCGATTTCACCGTGTTACGGGCGCTGTTGTCCACCAACGCGTGAGAGCCAGGCAGGAAAACACGTGCCTTGAGCTTTTCTAGACTAAGCTTTCTGAAGGAAGGAGAGAAAGTAGAAATTCCGTAATAGTCTGCCTGTGTGAGTGCCCATAGTTCACTCAAAACCTGATTGCACCAAGCTTGGCTGTTGACAAGTGCTCTCAACCCTAAAGATACCTGACTCCAAGTCACCATACAATAGATTTACGATTTTTTCAGCATCAACTTGCTTTAATCTGCTGAAATTGCCGAACTACAACAAGAAATCGGTGTTACTCTCGAAACTTCGCTACGCAATTCATTCAGAAACCGGTTTTGAGCTTAGCTAAGTCCCGTTAGTGATTCTGTGCTACCCAGAAAGGTATGTAAATTTTTTTCTATTCATCGAAATCATTGCTCCTGTTCATATTAATTTTCGATCATAATCATCGCTGCTCTTTCGGGTCTTTTGTTTATGTATTAAAAGTAAGGCATTAGTGCTTTCATGTTTAGCTTGTAGAGTTTATTATACGAGTTGTACTGGGACTCTTTAGTTCCAAATAAAAGAATTGTGTGTAGAGATGTGTTGCTTGTATATAGAGGAGTCACATTGAATCATCAACTCATCGACGACAGCACGAGCTATATATGGCCCACACTTTCGCACGGTGACACTCGTTTTCCGTATTGCATAGTAT